TGTGTAATTGAGTCATCACAACCCCGTTCTCTGAATTATCTGCCCTCCCTAGAGTACATGCCACAAAGGGCGGGGACTTGTCCTGTGTGCTCCTCTGTCCACAGCCCCAGAAGGCTGTTGGGTGTCTAGTGGACCTCTATTGGATATTTAGGTTTGTTAAATCCATGTCTGTGCTGTGGCAGTGAACAGCTATTCTCGACTCTGCAGTAGAGTCTGAAGTCCCGTTTGCCCCGAGTGCCCTATCGTCACGCTGACTTAAACTCCTGTTAGCGAAGGCTCCCACAACTCTAGCAGATGCCCTGTCAGCTGGCTAATGGTCTGTGAAACTTCAGCACACCAGGGAATGTCAGTCCTCCAGATGAAGCCTTCATCTGGAGAATCTTTAGCCACATCTTCAAAGGTGACATTTTCTCCTGTAGTTTAAGACAGCAGAGTTCAGTTACCTAGAGCAGTTTGGGTTGGGAATCAGCACTCTGAGGTCAAATGTTAGCACCCTGTCCCCTCAGGAAGAAGCAATGGCTTCCCTTTCCAAGGTGGGCCTTAAACAAGCAGGCAAATGTGGTGATATTTTGCTTATGATCTAACAAATAAAGCTTGCCTGAAGATCAGAGTGCAAAACTAGCCACACTAGTTAGCCACAGAGGCCAGGCACTGGTGGCACACACCTTTAATCTCAGCACTCTGGAGACAGAGGCAGGTGGGTGATCTCTGTGAGTTCAAGGCCACCCTGAGCTACACAAAATTGAACCAGTCTAAAATAGAAACAGCTCACACAAAGGTGATCCCAGCACTTGGGATCACATGCCTTTAATCCCAGCACTGAGGTTTGGTGGAGACAGACGCAGTCTAGATAGTCTAAGGAGCAGTCTGAGGAGCGATGCAGTCTAAGCAGTCTGAGGATGCAGGCTTTGGTTGGGCACTGGTAGAGGTAAGAACTCTAGTGGCTGGCTGCTTTACTTCTCTGATCTTCAGCATTAACCCCAATATCTGTCTCTGAGTTTTTCTTAAGACCTATTAGAACTCATGCTACAGACAGATATTAAAGAACAGTTTCCAGAGGTGTCTGGCTAGACCCGGCTTTCTCTTTCACTGAGATACCTCCTTCGCTATTGCTTTCCCATTCCTGAGCATGCATGGCCAACCTCTCCTTCCCACCCCAGGGACCTTAGTTCTTTGCCCATGGGTTTGATTGCAAGGCTGCTGTCAGACACAGGCACACAAGTACACATCATTACCACCTCTCTGCCAACAGCTCCAACCATTAAGAGAGGGGCCTTTATGAATGTAAAAGCCATTTCAGGCTTTTCTGTTTTCCTTCAGAAGACTTGTGTAAAATGCCCCTGAGAAGTATAGTTCTTGAAAGCTTACAAAGCCGCTAACCTTTTTACCCCCCAAATTCTAGTGTTCTGCAGCCACTAGCTATTGTAGACTTGATTGTTCTTTCCCAAGAGCTGTATTTAAGCCACAAAGAGCAGCTCTGAGAAACAGAAGCACAGTTGCATGCACGTGCATGCGTGCATGCACACACACACACACATGCACACAGAGTCCCGCACAGGGTAACTGGGGATTAGACCAGAACGCTCAGCTCCACCCTGTGTGTCACACTTTGGGACTGCAGGCCTTGATAAGCTCAAGCTTTGTGACCGGCTGCCAGCTTCAGTCTGAACTCTGAAGAAAAACTTGAGTGTGTAAGTTAGTATGTGAAGTCCCAAGTGGCAAGGGTTCCACTGAGAAGTCCAGCAGAGCTCAGTTGGCTGTGTAAATAGATGGATGAAGCACGGTGAGAGCCCATGGGTGTAGAGCAGCGCCTCTACTTGCCAGCCCTTTTAACAAGAGACGCCCCAACTGGACCTGAAAGATGAGATTATCTGCATCCTAGCGCAGGGACCAGCTATGCAGCGGCTGTCTCCTCGGGAAAGCCCAGAAGAGTGGCAAGGTTTGGGGTGAGGACTCCAGCTAAGGCTGCCATGGGAAGAGAAGCCTGGGGGCTCTGAGCACTCTGTGGACATTTAGAAGGCTACCTCTGGGTCCTTGGGGGCTATGAATCTGATCCAAAGGCACAAGAAGACCAGACAGGAGGCTCGGTGTCTCTGCCTCGGCAGTCAGCCACAGGAGACCTCCTAAGCTGCAATGTCCCACCCAGGGCCTGTGCAGCAAGGTCAGCCCTTTGAAACTACTGTCCTGATGGTTTTTGTTGTTGTTGCTGTTTTCTTCGTTTTTCCTTTTACAGGTCCCCTGATTCTCCCATCAGTTAAAGGCATATTTGGGTCCTGAATTGAGTCTTCTGCTACGTCAGTTTATTATCATCATCATCATTATCAGTCTTCAATTATCTATCCAAGGGGTTTTAGGGTTTGGGCTAACTGCTTACACTATGTTTACTCTGTCTGTTGAATCCTAGTTTTCAGCTCAGCTTGTATCAGGTTTCATCTTCCTAAGAGGAGTGTTTTGGAGGTCTAAGATCAGTAGGGTCTACTGAGGAGCACTCACAAAGACTGGCCTTGTCAAGCTGTTGCTAGGCAGGGCTAAATCGTCTACATGTTGCTGATGCTGGGAGCTTTGCCATCTCTACACTTTGCAGTATTCTCTTCGGGGATGCAGCTTCAAAAATTAACACAGATATTTGATTGAGTTTCTTAGTAACTGATCTGTCAGTTTGCAAGTTTACATCCAGTCCATGTCAGCAGCTGCCATAAAACTGCCAAATTCTTTTAGGCCTCAAAGCCACCCAGTTGGCATTCACAGAGACTGTCCCTCGTCACTGATGCTCTTTGCAGCTGTCCTTTGTGATGCTCAGGGCAGCCACAGTCACACATTCTCTGCCTTCTCCATCCTCCAGCTCTGACTCCTCTTCCTGGTGGCATGCACACCAGATGCTGCTGGCTTTAGTATCACTTGAAGGGGAGTATCACCAGGGTAGCATGTCGGGGGAGGGTACCAAGAGAGTATCCAGGTTGGCAAGGCAACTAGTGGCCCCAGAGTAGGCTGCACAGCTGCTTAATGGTTCTAAGCAAGAGGTCTGGTCCCAGGAAGAGGTTTAGTTGGCATGACCCCTCATCTAAGTGAAGCTGTGCTCACCACGGACCCACGTTCTGAGGCTTAAAGTGCAGGGGTCACCGGGGAATCTGGGCAAAATGCAGATGCCTATGCCATGCTTTGGATGAGCTGAGAGACCGCCTCTCCAATGGGCTGTTGTATAAAATAGATGCTGTGGACCCCACACTGTTGGTTGACAGCTGTGGATACTGATTGGGGGGAGCCTTTTAAATCTCCATGACTGACTCTGCAGTGAAATCAGAATTCTGAGGTCAAGTCCAGGATACCAGTAGTTTCCGAACTCTCCAGACAACTCCTGCATAGCTTGTTTGTGTGGCGGGCCTGTGTCGATGATGCCCCAAATGCCTGCCACGTCAGGACGCTGCAGAAGTATTGTGTGTGTGATAGTGGGTGTGAACTAAAAGAGTACCTACCTTCGATTCACCAGCTCCAGAGATCCCTGGAACCACTCCAGAGTCTTAGCAGAAGCCCTCAAAGGGTTCTTGCTATTCTCTTTGGCTCTGGATCTCCACTACACAGCTGGCTGTCCCAGATTCTTCTTGGCAGGCCTAGAAGAGCTGTGGGGAGTCAATAAGTGGATAAAGCCGGGCTCCCAAAACTGCTGTGTATGAAACCAAGAGAGAAGGTGTGGTGTGTGCCGGGGTGGTGTAGCCAGCTGTCCAGCGAATCTCATGTGGGACCACAGAGAAGAATCAGGCTTCGAGATAAAAGGAAACTTTAAAAAACAGACTTAGGGGCCAGCTCTGTGGATAAAGGTGCTTGCTGCCAAGTCTGATAGCCTGAGTTCTAACCCTGGAAGCCGTATAGTAGAAGGAAAGACCTGACTCCCTTGACTTCTACACACACACACATACACACACACATACATACACACACACACACACACACAGAGAGAGAGAGAGAGAGAGAGAGAGAGAGAGATATGTTTAATAAGGATCAGGAGAAACAAATAGGCTGAGTAGATGTTTATTCAGGGAGAAATAACTTACAACATAGACAGATGAACACCAGCATGTTCCTGGTCCCAAGGATGCCTCCGGATGCCCTCCTGTCCCCTTGCTGCAAGCAAGAGAGCTCTCAGAGCCCCCTCCTCAGCCTTAGTTCCCCCAGGTCACGTCCAGCCCTGTCTCTTCCCCCCATGGACGTGGTCTATGCCACAGGTGTGGGCAAGGTGAATATCTCACTACACACACACACACACACACACACTATTACTCCCCCTCCCTCACACACAGATAAATAACTGTAAATTTTTTTGGGGGGGGGGAGAGATATAGTATGTTTTCTTTAACATTTTTAAACTGGCTCTAAAAATAGTAAGTGATGCCATAAATTATACAAGAGATTTTTTTTAAAAAAATATGCATTTAAGAATTTTTCATGGAAATAGATGTTCTAGGGATGGATAGTCCTCTCCTGCCATCCCAGTCTGGTACTTTAGAGGCCAGTGCATAGCAGGGAGATGTCGCAGCTGGATTTGAAGGGCTCAGTCCAAGAGGGAAGATGAAAGGTATGACTGAGTTGATTGAGATGATTCTGGGTGCTGTAACCATGCCAACACCATTCTAAGGTCAAGACCAAGGTTAGCGAGCCGGTAGCCAGACAGGAGAAGGCCCCCTCTGCAGTCATGTGGGTACCTCCCACGTTGTCTCCTATCCATGCTCTGAAGATGAGGGAGTGGGCATGACCCCATCCCTCTGTTAGGCAGGACCAGATACCCTCTCAGGCCTTTGACCAGAGCCCCATCCTATGGTCTCTGGCCTGCAAGAACAGGTTCAGCCAGTTTCCACCAACAACACTTGCACAGGATAACACAGGGCAGTGAAGTGTGCCCGCTGCCCCAGGAATATTGACCACAGCTAGACCTGAGTCAGGTGACAGGGACCACGGAGCGGAAATGGTATTCTGAAGGTGTGTGTCGTTTTTCCTTCTTTCCACAGATATCGCCAATGGCACCAGTTCAGGGGGGTACCGCCCACCTCCCAGAACCAAAGAAGTCATCATCAATGGCCAGACTGTGAAACTAAAGTACTGTTTTACCTGCAAGATTTTCCGTCCCCCTCGGGCCTCCCACTGCAGCCTGTGTGATAACTGCGTAGGTGAGTAGGACCCGGGTGGTGCATGAGTAGCAGTTCCCTGCTAGGATGCTAAGACGGAGAGGACCTGTCTTTAACACGCCTACTAAAGGCTTGGCAGTGGCTACTGTGCCGGTACGGTACGTGCATTTGCCTGTCTCCACGCAACACATTCACCAAGCCCGTATTCACCACTCTGTTTCACGGTAGGGATGTTTGGTTTCGGCGGGGGGGTTAGAGGGGTTGTTTTTGTTTTTAATCTTGCCAAGCGCTGGACCTTCTATCCCAGCACATGAAACTTTGTTCCCCCTGGATGCCGGATGAGCAGACATTTGAAATGAAGCCATTGCAGCTCTGAGTCCCTCCATTGCAGCCCTGGGTCCCTCCTCCCTTGCAGCCCTGGGTCCCTCCTCCCTTGCAGCCCTGGGTCCCTCCTCCCTTGCAGCCCTGGGTCCCTCCTCCCTTGCAGCCCTGGGTCCCTCCGTTGCCTGACAGCTGGCCATACACATAAAGCGTATGGTTTGTGCATTTCCCTCCCCCATGCTCAGAGCTGCTTTGAGGGATGAGGAAGGCTTTGGATCTGAAGAAGAGAAAGAGGTAGAAACAGCCAACTTCCATGTGGGGCCAGATGGGGGAGGGGAGATGCCAGCTCAGAAGTCCCTGGTTGTGATTAGCCTTTACCCAACAAGGCTACTTACCCAACAATTGACTTGAGGCTCAGACTCTAGTTTGTAGCCAGGCTTCCTGTCTCTTTAGACTAAGAGCTGGTCACTGTCACTATCGACCATCTTCATCGTAGGCACAGCTAAGAGAAGAGGGTGACAATAAAGACAGGGTACAGCTTGGCCACACTTCAGAAGACTGTGGTTCCTCAATCTTGTGGCCTGCCTCCACGGAGGTGAGGGTGGAAACATTGTCCCCCCTACCTGAAAGGAGACAGGCACCCTCCGGACAACGTCTCCCTTAGAACACATTATCGATTTCCAGCACTCTCTTTCAATCTCAGAATCTGTAGTCTCAATTCTTCCTGAGAAAAATTAAATTTTACAAGGTAACTCCCACTGTGCCAAGAAATCTTATTAATCTGAAATTCACTTTACCCTAACTTTAATAATCTGTAGTTTGATACAAGGGTCATGTTTTCCCTGTCTGTTTTCCTTGTCTTGGTTCTTATTGGTTTGTGATCCCCTGTGGAGAAGCCTGGAATTTTCTTTTGTCCTTCCCATGTAGTAAGGCGCCTGTCCTTAGGGTCACGACTGTGCCATAGGATGGGGACCAGGCTCCAAATGCTCCCTGTGTGACTTAGACAAGCTACTTAAATTGTGCCTCGGTTTCCTCTGTATTGTGATGGCTGAAAGATGACACAAACAGAAAGGCTCAGAGCAGTCAGGGCAGTGCCAGGCTGTGAGCAAGTGTTAGCTGCTGCTGCTGTTACTGTTACTGCTGCTGCTGTTACTGTTACTATTGTTGCTGTTACTGCTGTTGTTGCTATTTCTGCTGCTGATGTTTTTGAGTGGCTTTCTCTAGAGAAATCCTTGATACACTGTCACCCTCTGCAATTATGACAACAGAACTGTACCCTGTCCTCCAGGCAGAGGCACATGGGGCCTCTGTGAGGCCATGTGACAGACTTGGTGAGATTTGGTACCCTACCTTGAGGACTTTTGGGGCCAGACAGCGTGGTGGCTTCAGTGTCATCCAGGGAGCAATCGGTACGGCTGATGAGCAGCCTTGGGGGCCTTTTCTTGGGTTGTCATTTTGTCCCTTGAGTCTGATGCAGGCTTGAATAGTCTGACACTTTAGCATTCCTGTTATTTTTCATGTTCTCTCCTGTGTGTGTGTGTGGGGGGGGCTTACCCTAAGATGTATTTTGACAAATAAGAAATTGTTATCTACAAACCTAAAGCATCTACTTCCTTATCATTTGTGAAAAGTTTTATCTTTTGGTTCCTACTGCCTCATTTTCACCCATTTGTCTCAACCCCGTCTCCTGACTCTAAGCTAGATCCACAGTCGTGCTTCAGAGGAAAGCCTTTCCCAGCTCATAGTGGGTTATGGCTTGAAAATTCCTGTTGGAGTCTTGTCACTTCCTACAAATCATATAGTCACTACCAGTATGGTCCCACATTAAAAATCCTAATAAATTGGATGTAAATCCCTTTGCCAAAATTATGTATGGGTTTTCACAGTTGATGGGCTGTTTTGCCATAGTAAAAGTGTTTGAGACAGTGTCCCCGCTGGTGAACTCGACCAATTGTGAAAGCTAGAGCCAGCAACCCACAATGTACAGGAGGCAAGTGTGGCCCTTTCTGAGGACATGGTCACCATAGCAGCCCAGCAACCCACATTCAAGCGTGGTAATCTTCCATGACAGAGACACCAAAGGGAAAGGGAGAGAGAGGGAGTGGCAGGGTCTGGGATGGGGACAGGAGGAGGAAGCCTGACCTAACGGTACAGAGCTGATGGGGAATGTAAGCTTTGGTCCACAGTCCTGGGCCTGACCTTAACCAAGTCCCTCTCTATGGAGGACAGGTGAGCTGAGTAACATGCAGTTGGTTTAAAATAGAGTTGCTAATTGCTGATTACACTACATACACATCCACACAGGCGTGCATACATGCGCGCACACAGGCACACACACACACACACAGAGTTATCCAAGCCTGCATAGCTTTGGGTTTTTCCAGTTAGCTGTGCAGCACAGGCCTTTGGTATGACTGATGTGCGGGACACAGACCAGACCTCTGCGTTCAGAAAATAAAATAGAAGGCAGAAGTCTCCCACAGAGGAGTGTAATTGCGAGGTTGCTGCTAGTGTATTTTTAGATAGAAGGTTTTTACCGAAACCATTCTCCTTTTTACAGCAAATAAAAAGACAGCGTGCATTGGAAGCCCAGGTCAGATTGCAGCCTTCCGTTCCCTTGTAAGGAGTGGCCTTGGGTCATTACTTCCCAAACACAGTGGATAATTGCCATCTTGCATTAGGAGAGGGAAGGGGGAAGTGCAGATTTCCAGGATACCTCAGGAAATTCTTTTTCTTTGTTAAATACATTTTAAATGAGAGCCAGATCCTAAGAGCTTTGCATTCTTAGTTGAGGGCTGAGGGAAGTACTTGTTGAAGTCCCAGGGTTCATGTAACCACAGAAACGGTAAGCAGAAAACCTAATGACTGGGACCTGGCCTTCATCACACAGACCCAGGATTGGAGAACCCTGGAAGCTGAGAAAATTTTCTCCATACTCCCAACTGTTTCCAACCCCTATATACAAGGTGAGCCTAAAACAGCTTATAAATTTCATCTAAGAATTAAGTGAGGCCATGCCCACTAGAGTACCCTGCTCAGACATGGAATACACAAAGGGGTCAGTAAGTGATGCCACCAACATTCCCACCACAAGTTAAGAGTGCTGCTCCCAGGTGTCTTATTCAAGCAAGATTCAGCACCTAGGAAGATGGCTCAGTCGGGGATGTGTTTGGCCCGCAAGCAGGCAGACTTGAGTTCAGATGCCCAGCACCCATGTACAGAGCCAGGTGCATGTCTCACCCCAGAGTTGGGGAGGCAGAACCAGGCAGATCCTGGAACTCACCGGCCAGCCGATCTACCTGAATGGGTGAGCCCCAGGTTCAATGAGCAAAGTTGTCTGGAAAAAAATGAGATGGGGGTAGTTGAGGAAGAATTGATGTTGACCTGTGGCCTCTATACCTATGAACACACCAACATATATATCCATACGAAGATGTATATACACCATTCTCTCACACACACACACATGCACACACACACACACACACACACAGAGAGAGAGAGAGAGAGAGAGAGAGGAAGAGAGAGAGAGAGAGAGATCATCCTGGCAGCCATAGGCAGTGTCCTTCTTTCCTAGTAGGACCTTTATGATTCTCAGTAATAGGAGAGGGTATGGTAGCATTTCCTCTGTCTCTCTCACATGGTCATTGTCTTTCAGTCTTGTCTCTGTCTCTGGATCTTCCTCCCTCACTTACCAGCACCCTGGATGTCACCATCAGTCGCTTCTGTATACTGGGATAAAGGGTTTGAGGCTGTCTGTTCATCCAGGCAATCTTGGATATATTTTATATTTACCTTTGGCTTTGTTTGTGTTGGGCAGAGCCCGGGATGCACAATCTTGGATATTTTTTATATTTATCTTTGGCTTTGTTTGTGTTGGGCAGAGCCCGGGATGCACAATCTTGGATATTTTTTATATTTACCTTTGGCTTTGTTTGTGTTGGGCAGAGCCCGGGATGCACGCATGCCATGTGTGGAAGTCATAGAACAGCCTGCAGGGGTTGCTTCTCTCTCTGGGTTTGTGGCACAGGGATTGGGCGCAGACCATCGTCTTTGCATCAAACACCTTTGCACGTTGAACCGCCTACCCGCCCCACAAAATCTCTTAAACAACTACTATCCAGGGCCTAGGTCCACTTCTGCTCTCTTAGGAGCTCACATCTCTCAGGTCATTGGGGTGAGGATGATGGGCGGGGCTAAGAAACAAAGCAAAGGATCATGGGAGTCTCTACCTTGCCCTGACTGGCAACCCACATCTGTTCTTTCCTGGGCCCCGTTAGTGTTGGAGAAGCCGACAGCTTTAACCACTGGGTTGTTCTTGGGAACTGGATTTTTAATTTTTATATTATTTTGGGTGTATGGATGTTTCGCCTGCACGTATGCCTGTGTCCCATTTGTGTCCCTGGTACCAGCAAGGGCCAGAAGAGAGCACTGGGGTTACAGATGGTTTCGAGCCACCATGTAGATACTGGGATTCGATCTTTGTCCTCTGGAAGAGGAGCCAGTGCTCTTAGCTGCTGAGCCACCTCTCCAGCCCCTGTGATAGGTGTTCTTAACACAGTCTTAATGTGTAATGGGGAATGCTCCCTTGAAATGCATCACACCCATGGACAAAATCATAAGGTTGATCTCTAACCACGAAGATCAAGATCTAACTTGGCCTAGGTGTAGGGATCTTAGCTACAAGCTAAGAATGACCCTCAGGAGCTGCCTGGGTCCTT